TTTAGCGTACTTGCATGTATTGTTAGTTGCGAAGTCGCATCCAGTCCTTCATGACCCCACATTCCTCCTGACTCTCCTATTTTCCACCATCCCCCAGAGTCCACCTAAGCTCACATCAACTGCTTCGGTGACTTCATCTAGCCACCTCATTCTCTGCCGTCCCTTTCTTCTTTTGCTGTCAATTGTTCCCAGCATTAGGCTCTTCTCCAGGGAGTCCTTCCTTCTCATTAGGTGGCCAAAGTATTTGAGTTTCATCTTCAGCATCTGGCCTTCTAAAGAGCAGTCAGGGTTGATCTCCTCTAAGACTGACTGGTTTGATCTCCTTGCAGTCCAAGGGACTCGCAGGAGTCTTCTCCAGCACCACAATTCAAAGGCCTCAATTCTTCGGTGCTTAGCCTTCCTTATGGTCCAGCTTTCACAGCCATACATTACAACTTGGAAAACCATATCCTTGACTATACACACTTGACTATATGCACCATAGCCTTGACTACACGTATGTGCTTGTAGGGGCTGTTATTTAAATAATATTTGTGCATGTGGATTACAGTGATGAAAATAAGATAGATGGTCTCAATTAGTGGTATAATGCTAATGTTCTTTTAAAATACATAAGCTAGATAATGATTAATGTAGTTTGTTTTTTTCCATTTGCAAATAAAATTAGTAGTTGTATGTACAACTGTGATTTCCCAAACACCTGAATGCCAGTCATCCTTTTATAGCATAAGCCTTCTTCCAATGACAAATTGCAATTTTCTTGCAGTTTGTAACAAAAGATTATTAATATGAAGAAAAGCTAGCTAGCTTTGGAAAATACAAACCTGAAGTTCTGTTGAAATGCCAGTAATTATACCCAGTCATTTGGATTGTATGTTAAAGCTGAACTTTGTGAATGGGTATCTAAATCTTGTTTCTGGGATGTTCAACATTTGTACAGTGGTACCTTGGCTCACGAATGCCTCACTTCATGACTAAACTGGGCCATGGACATAAATTTCATAAAAATTTTGCCACAGGTCACAAACTCTGCATCGGGTGACAATCACAAGCATGCCTGCCTTCCCTGCACGGGCGCGATCACGATCGTGCTGGGGGGGATGGCCGCGATTGCACCCACCTCCCCCCACCCGCCTGCATGGGCGGGGGAGTGGCTGCAATCTTTGTTGTTCTTTGTCACTTTGCTTCAATTTTTTGTGAGTAAAAAAAGTAGTTGCAGAACGGATTAACCTTATTTACTTTGACCTTTATGGGGAAATTTGAATTGGCTCACGACCAGTTTGGGTCATGACCAGAGTCCTGGAATGGATTATGTTTATGACCCAAGGTACCACTGTATTTGTATTTCTCAAAACTCTGAAATATAACGAAACTATTTGGGTTCTAAGAAGATGTTCTGTATTTACGTACAGCTAGATTAATCTCTGGAGGCAGCACTTCTTTGGTAGTCTTCATATTTGACCAGTGATAGTTCTGGAAATGGTTTTTAAAGAAGACCTAGTAGTACCCCTCAGCATCCAGAGAAGAGGGTTCATGCCTTAGGGGGAGTGATGCAGTTCTGCAATTCAGAATAATTGTGATCCGGTATAACTACTTTCAATAGTAAAGTGGGTGAAGGATAGCTTACAGAAAGCTAGTATCAGTTCTTATGCATTGCAGTACAAATGTGTGGATCATGTTAGCAATACTTCACATGCTTACCTGGGAGTCATTCCCATTAGGCATGTGCAGTATAGTGCTGCACCTCCACTAATGAGGAACACATTCCCTCCAGCCACACTTCATTAGAGCCTCTTGCCCCCTGATCCCATGCTGTTGTGATTTTGCCTCCACATGTCATTAGTTATCTACTGGTTTTTACACTTCCTAAATGTTCCACTGCAATTCTCTGCTCAAAGAACACATTAAATGCATTTAAACCTGTATACAATGAGAGAAAATGTATTTAAAGTCATGCATTGAATTGTAATAGGTTGTTAAACAGTTGTTAAACAGATTAATGCAGAAACAGGGTGGAATGGATTTATAGACAAGCACCTGCAGAAGTGACACAGATGGGAAATAGAATGATTCATCCATCACTAGTACAGAAGTGTTTAGAAATATATTTAAGAGTTGCTGACTCAAATTTCAGCTCCACCATGAACTTATAGGATGACAAAGTAGACATTCTATTTCTTAGCCATCATCAAACTCCTTCTGCCATGTATGTATGTATGTATTTATTTATTTAGAGTATTTGTATGCCATCCCATCGCATAGCCTCGGGACGGCTTACATAAAATAAAATAAAACATAATACAAATAAAATCCAGATCCACCCTGGCTGCAGATTAAAACCTATAAACTGATGTTAAAAGTTATTAAAATATTGTTGAAATAAAAAGGTCTTAGCCTGGCGCCAAAAAACAAATAATGACGGCACCAGGCAGACCTCTCTGGGGAGTGCATTCCATAGGTGGGGTGCCACCACAGAGAAAGCCCTCCTCTGGGTACTTTGCCTCCTAATGTCTTTCACGGAGGGTTCCCGAAGGGGAGCCTCTGCTGCCTCTCTCAGGGGGCGAGAGGGCAAATACGGAAGAAGGCGTTCCTTTAGGTATCCTGGTCCCAAGCCGTTAAGGGCTTTATAGGTAATAACCAGCACCTTGAATTGAGCCCGGACTTTGATGGGAAGCCAGTGAAGCTGGTAGAGGACTGGTGTTATGTGAGAGTAACGCCCATTCCCTGTCAGCAACCTGGCTGCTTTATTTTGCACCATCTGAAGTATACAGACTGTCTTCAAGTGCAGCCCCACATAGAGTGCATTACAGAAATCCAACCGGCAAGTAACCAGTGCATGTGTCACTGTCACTAGGCAATCGTCCTCCAGGTAGGGACGCAGCTAATGGATTAACCGAAGCTGAAGGAAAGCGCTCCTCACCACTGCAGTCACCTGAGCTTCCAGGGACAGCTCTGGGTCGAGGAGCACTCCCAAGCTACGGACCCTGTCCTTTAGAGGGAGTGCAACCCCATTCAGGGCAAGGTCCAAGTCACCTACCCAGGAGCTCGAACCACCCACCAACAGGACCTCCGTCTTGTCTGGATTGAGTTTCAGCCTCACCTGGATCGGTTGAAAAACAGAGGTAGAGCTGGGTATCATCAACATACTGATGATTCTGCAGCCCAAACCTCCTGATGACCTCTCCCAGCAGTTTCATGTAGATGTTGAATAGCAAGGGAGGCAAAATGGACCCCTGCAGTATTCCATGGCATAGCTGCCATGGCACAGAGCCAAAGTCCCCCAGCACCACCTTCTGGAATCGGCTGTCGAGGTAGGAATTATGCCTTTCATTTTACAAGAGAATTGTAATAATTAAGTGAGTTAATAGCCTGTTTTGCAGGTTGGTTAACATGTCACCATGACTTGCTATCTTCCTGTCTGTGTTGATCTGATTTGTTTAATTATTCTCACTGGCTTGAATTCTCGTGATATGCAAATCCAGTGAGGGTCACTTGTAGGGGTGGGTAACAAACCATCCTACAGCTCATGGGTTCTGAGTAGTTTTTCATCCTTCCCAACAAGCCATCTTTGCCAGGTTCATACAGCACAAGATGCCACACCAGAGCAGGCAATTATGTAAATTATGCAGGGTAGTTTACAAACCACTTTGACTTGATAACTACTGTGTGATCATGTGAACCATATCACTGGGCCAGTTTGCCCACTGTGGGTTAGTTTCCATATGTACTTGTGTTCTGGCTAAGCTTTTTAAAATGCTGGCATTTTAAGGCATAGGAGAGGGCATGCCATAGCTTATCATTACATACAAACCCAGTGAGGATAGGTGGCTGGAGTAGTTAACAAATCACCCAGCAACCCGACAGCAAAATGACCTGGTTCATACAATCACTTGGTCATGTGAGTTGCTCATGGGCTGCATGGGTTGCCTTATTACCTTCATGGCACATGGGTTGCTGCATTGTCCTAACCTGTTGAAAAGCACAGTAGAGATGTCTTCAAAATCAGTCTAGAACCCATGGCTTCTTGCAACATTCTGGAGTGGTTGAAGCCACCACCCACTGTGTACCTTGCCAGGTTCGGACAATAGAATAACCTGCATGCTGTGAGGTAACTAAGCAAATCATGCAGGGATTGATTGAAGTCACTGATTAATGTCAGCTATCCAGGGGACCTTCTTAGTGGTTGCCCCTAAACAGTAGAATGGCCTGCAGGGGGAGATATGTCAGATATCCCAGTCTGCTACTTTCAAGAGGGAGGCATCTCCTTTCATTGGAGGCATCTCTTCCAATAGGCCTTCCCAGATTAGTTTTATGCTTGGTTTTAATTTAAGTTTGAACTATTGTTGGCTTTTATCTCTTGTAAACTGCCCAGAGCCTTTGGGAATGGGGTGGTATATAAAAATCTAAATAAATAAATAAATGTTACTGTGTGAACCTGGCCAGTCTGTGTTCTGGGTGTTTTGTCAACCATCTCAGCTGCTCACCCTTGCCAGGTTTGCAGGCAGCGAAAAGTCACACCCTGCAAGGATATTGGGGAAATTCTAGAGTGCTTAATAAGACATCATGCAAACCAGGCATATGTAAGGTTTTTTGAATTCCTAGAACAAGTGCTATATAAACATTAAATGGCATTACAGAGTAAATTTCCAAGTTGTTCCATAACAGGTCCCATACTATGTAAGATAGCTATTCATATTGAAGTGATAAACAAAGCAGGAATAGTTAAATCACAATGGAATGGAAGTATATGGACAGACATTGCAGATAGTTAATGCTGAATTTATTGCATTTTAACACTCCTGATGTATGCTCCCCATGCATCTGATCAAATGGATTCTAGTCCATGAGCTAATGATATAGCAACATTGTTAGCCTTTAAGGTGACATAGGATGTTTCCTTACCTTACTTTACAGAAAACTTCAAAATAAGAAGGTGTACGTTGAAAGTTTGCAAATACTGACCACGACTTCTCTCCCCCTCCCCTTCTCTCTCTTTCTAGAATTTTTCCCAGGGAGTATCTTTTTCAGCAGATCCATCTGTATTCCCTAGCAGATCTCCAACAGGTAAATGATCTCAGATTGTCCAGATATTCTGTGTGAGTTTATCCAGCTCAGTTTTGCTCAGATTTTCTTGTCTTAATGAGCTTTTCCAGGCCAAGAAAAAACATTTGAAGCCTTCCCCAAATAATAGCTAAAAGAATATCTTAGTCATTGCTTGCTTACTTATAATCAGTCATGACAAAGGGATTTAATCTCTCAGTGCTTTAGCTGAGTGTGACAGTACTGCAGAATAGTTGGTCATGGAACTGACTAGATCACTCTGGATTTAACACTAAGCAGTGTCACAAAGAATTACTACAAAATGTAGATGTTGTAGAACCGATTGGAAACTGCAGCCACAGTGCTATTAAATTTAATATATATTTAAGTGGAAAATGGACAAAGATGTCCAAAATAACCATATTTGACCTCAAAACAGGAAACTTCTCTAAAATGGGGGAGCTGATATAAAGAAATTGAAAGGGGGAGTTTATTTCATTTAAATCCTGCCCAATAACTGAGGTTAAAACCCTTGAAATGCAGAAAAGGGCAACTACCCTACAAGGAAATGTTACAACATATGGAATTATTAAGTTTGTTAAAACGTGGGTAAAGGGAAAGATGGTAGAAATGTATAGAATTGTGCACAGTATGGAAAAGTGGATAGGGAGACATTGTTCTTCCCTTCTCATAATACTAGAACTCAGTGGGGTCAGCCCATAGAAACATAGAAACAAAGCAAATCAGAAGGGTCCTCCCAGGCCATCTAGTCTGACCCCTGGCTCCGCTCACGACATGCCCACCATGTGCATGGCTAGCCTATCTTTGAACACCCTCACCAATGGGGCCTCAACCGCCTCCTGTGGAAGCCCATTCCATACCCTCGGGGTCCTAACTGTCAGGAAGTGCTTCCTGGCATCCAAATGGAACCTTGGCTCCCTAAGCTTTGCTCCATTGGAGCGCGTCCTGCCTTCCTCTGCAGGGGAGAACAGGTCTCTACCCACCTCCGTGTGACATCCCCTCATATACCTGTATGTCGCCAACATATCCCCTCTGAGTCCTCTTCTCCAGGTGGAAGAGACCCAGTTCCCTCAGTCTCTCCTCATATGCATCCCCTGCAAACCAGCCACGCCCTGCAAACCGGCCACTAACCTTGCGGCTCTAACTTGGCTATCTTCTTCCTGTAATAAGGGGCCCAAAACTGAGCACAATACTCCAGTTGTGGGCGCACCAGAGTCGTATAGAGTGGTAGTAATAACTCTCTCGATCTAGAAGCCACACTTCTGGCTATGCAACTAAGGGTGGCGTTCGCTCTCTTAACCACCGCATCATACTGCTGACTCATGTTTAGCCTGCACTCAACCAGCACCCCGAGGTCCCTTTCACAAGCGCTGCTCTCCAGCCATGGGGCACTTTGTCAAAGGCCTTGCTGAAATCCAGGTATACTACATCCACTGCTTCCCCTCCATCTAGCCATCTTGAAACCTTGTCGTAGAATTCCACAAGGTTTGTCTGGCGGGACCTGTTTTTGCTGAAACCGTGTTGTGTGGTCACCAGCCTCCCTTCCCTATCCAGCATCACTAGATCTCTCACTATTATGAGCCTTTCCATTGTTTTTCCTACAATGGATGTGAGGCTAACTGGTCTGTAATTCCCCATGCCCCTTCTACTACCCTTTTTGAAAATTGGGACCACTGACGCCACCCTCTAGTTCTCTGGAATTTCACCTGTTCTTCACGAGGCCTCAAAAATGGAGGCCAGCAGGCGTGAGAGAACCCCTGCCATCCCTCTAAGTACTCTTGGGTGTAACCCATCAGGACCTGGCACCTTTGTAATGTCCAGTGCCCTGAGGAGCCTCTCAACTTCTAGGGGGTGACTCTAATCTGTGCCCCAGTCCCCAGCGTCATCTAATCTCCTATGTGAATCTCTCTAGTCCTGCCTTGGGGAGAACACAGAGGCAAAATAGTCTAGCATCTGTGCCTGTTCCCTCGTATCAGTGACTGGATCTCCTTCCTCCTTATTTAGCGGCCCCACTACTTGTCTCTCCTTCCTCTGCCCAATTATATGCTGAAAGAAGCCCTTTTTGTTGCTCTTGATATTCTTGGCAAGTCTCAGCTCATAATCAGCCTTAGCCTTGCGAAGAATCCTTCTGCAATGGACCTCCTTCTCCGGGTATACCCTTTTGTCTGTTTCCCCCAGTACCCATTTCCTATGGAGGTTCCTCTTGCGTCTAATCCCTCTAAGCACCTCCTTTCACATTCATGGTGGCACTCTCCTTCGCCTCCCCCGCTTACTAACTAGAGGTATCGTCAAGGCTTGTGCCTCCAAAACCTCCCTTTTGAGTGGCATCCACCCCTCCTCAACTCGCTTGCCTTCCAGTAACCTATCCCAGGAGACTTTCCCCAGTCTGGCCTTCAGTTGGCCAAAGTTGGCCCTCTTGAAGTCCCAGCTTCTAGTGCTCAACCTGCTGAACGTCCCCGTTCCCCAGATCTCAAAGCAAAGGATGGAGTGATCACTCGCATCCAGAGCTCCCCTAATCTGTACTTCATCTATCAGCTCCTCCCTATTGGTCAAGACCAAGTCAAAGATGTTTTCCCCCCTCGTCACCTCTCGGACCCTCTGTGTGAAAAACCCTCCCTCTATAGCTTCTAGGAAGCGATGTGACCTGGCTGTCACCGCCGAGTGAGTCTCCCAACTAATATCCGGGAGATT